GTATCGTATGCTACGCTTGGTTGTCTGCTTGGAACCCTTGGAACTTGGAACTCGTTTTTGGAGGAGTATTGGCAGCCTGAAACAGTTATTTTGCTTCATTTGCGGACTCCTCTGGAAACATATCTCGTTTGCGGACTTCTTCTGGGCTAGTGTATTACTTCTTTTGCACACTATCTCAGTGTGAGTGCCTTGACTTACCGGTTTGCATACCTGAGATACCTAAATACCTTTTTTTGGAGTTTGACCACATATTAAAATTCGACTGTTTTCCTTCGTTGGTCTACACTACGACCAAATTACACATGTGCTCGTAAGAAACGTCCTACCCCGTCTTGCTTTAACCTTTAAAAACTGCTTAATTTCGTTATTTTCATTAGCAGCTTAGTGCCATTCTAAACTTTCCAGTACTTATTTGCCGGCCATTCGATTGAGACTTACTTTAGTTGCGGAGCATTCTTAGTCTCGACCTCGTTTGTGGGTATCTCTTGAACAGATAGTGATGATTTTTTAGAGGTAAAGTGTCTTCGTCGTTGACAGTGTACTCAAAAGTTGTAGAGATTTCTTATGGAGCAGTAAAAAAGATATTTTTATAAATCTCACTTTTATAATATAAGCAGAATTTACTTGTTTCCATTTAGCTGTTAATTAAGAATTTGTTTTGAAACTTCCTCTATTCCGATCCTTGAAAGATTTTAGTTGCATAGTTTTATATATTTTGTATGTTACAGATGGAAAGTGCATCCACAGTGTAGGGAGAAAATTGGTGATTCATGCGGCCTTACTCCTGCATATTTAAAGGAAGCGTTCAAAGAGATGTTCATCAAGGATACCGGAAATGTAATTTCATCCATTCGAATTTTCAATTCCTGCTGCTTTGAGTGCCGCTAACTCATTCATGAGTCAATGCTTGTAATATAAGATTCTCTAATTTGTGACTCGTTTATACGCATTCGTATGGCTAATCTATCAGTCAGTTAGTAGTATGTACGGGGCAGCTTACCACGTCCATCTGTGAGTGATCCTAATCCATTTGATGGGGTATTTTAGCCACCAAATTTAATGTTTTTTTTTTATTTTTCAGTATTTTGTCCTTAATTTTATTTCTAATCTATTACTCCTCCGCATCGATTCAGCTGGCTGTGTTTCTGTGATTCCATTACAGCTTAGTACGAATGTTCAGGTTGATCGGTTTGACGCACTAACAGCCTTTTCGGTGCTTACTTAATATCACGGAAACACCATTTAACAGCGTATTTATTATCTTGGATAGTTGCCAGAAGTCTCCTTCCCATTTAGTCCTCTCTGTTCTACTTCTCAAAATCGCTACAGCCTATAAATTTTTACATTTTATAATTTTTTTTTTGCATTGAATCTTTTCAGGATGGCTGGACACCGTCCGAGTACAACATTTCAACGCAGCAGGCATTCGCTTTTGATCCGGTGGATAGTTCGTCCAGCACCAATAGTTCGGCACCTTCGACACCGGCTTTTCCAGCCATACATTCCGGTAAGTTCCTTTCCGATTCGCTGCCGGGCGAAATGACTCAGTGATGCGACTCTGTTTGCGCAGCTAATTAACAGTTAATGTGTCAGTACGCGACAGAAAGCGGAGCTGCGAAAATGCATCGCAAAACCAATGCGAGAGATCAAATAGTCTTTATGGAAGCCGGAAGCTC